TGAAACTGATACCAGCTTCAGACATTTGGTAGCAAAGGGTTTGCTGAATTCACACCGGGGGCTGGCAAACGTTTGGCTTTATGTGTGCCACAATACTGCTGAGGTCAACCAAAATATGTTTCCCTTCATTTATGTTGGCTTCATTTTCAAGATGGGAAGAAGTTATATGAAACATAGATTGTGTCGGAGGATTCTGTTTACTGTTTGGCTGCAAGGAGTTTAATTTGGTTTCTTTGTACTGAATTGAAGCTGCTGGGATCGAAGCAGCTGCCACAGATTCCCATGGACATTGCACGGCAGCTGGCAGTGTAATATCATTACTACAATATCTTTCATGTATAGAACCTTGTGATGGGGTATGCAAGTGATAGGCAGTTCATGAACACCATCAGAGACTGCAATCCGTTCTATGGATTGTCACAAAAGAATGCTGTGTGAGATCAAACGTGTTGCAGCGACTACAGCGCAGTGTTTATAGCTCACTACTTGGATTCTGTAAGAGCTTTAGGTTACTATACGTCTTTGTTTTGAACGTTCAACACTATAATAATAATCAAAAATGAAATATGAACGAAATTAAATGATCAAATAAAGTGAACATTTCACAGTGTTTATTGAGTTGTGTGGGGTTTATTAAAGTGTTTTAAACATGTTTGAATGGTGATATACACAGTGATAGATTAAGGCCTAACAAGTTTATAATAAATACAATTATATTTATTTTTAAATGTTTTCATACAATCATAGGAATTTGGATTCACTTCACTTTTTTATTTCAAGTCCAACCTAATGAAGAGTATATTTTTTCACTGTTGTCCAGGTTCATAAAGCTGCATAGAACAACACCATAAGAGCAGGGTGCAAAGTATCTACCATAACCATTGTCTCTCTGTCTCTTTGTAAGGTACGTGTAATCTGGTCTAGTTTGTTTGTTTGCTATGGGAAACTGCAACAGCTATGAGAGAACAGGAGCGTGATATATTCTGGTCACATCTATGTATAGTTTCTCTGCGTAAGCAGAAGCAGTTTATTTTTATTTTTTAAAAATCACACCTGGATGTTTGCAAACAGGCACTACTGATCATTTCACCTGAGGGCTCTTTGACCTCTGTTGATATGCGAGGGGCTGCTTTTAAAATAGTTTCAATAGGGATTAATTTCCCCTAAAGGGGAGGTAGATGGCATCAGTGTGTTTCTCTCTCCTGGCCATTGCCTTAAGTCTTGGATGTCAGTTCTCAAATGACTGGGGTGGATGACATGTCAGACCAGCTGCTGGAGACCAGTTAACAGTGGTACTGGGTTATCACTAGGATAGGTTACTAAAGAAATAAAAGAAAAATGTTTCTCAGAAGAGAAGGGTGGAGAGGTAAATTGCATACTGTAAAACCAAAAAGCAGGAAGATAAGAGTAGACTTTTCTAGTTAGCTAAAAAACATTTAGCCAGCTTAATGACTCCCATAACTTGATAGTGAGCAATTCACCACCTGCATCACACAGACCTAATGCTTTATGCTGGCAGAATAATGACAACGTCAATGACTTACATTCCAGAGCTGTGACTCGTTTAGTTAACGTTATAGTTTACATTTATTGAGATTTCTAGTCAATACATAACCTCGACTGTTCCTAGAAAAGAATCTTTAAATGTGGTTTAACATTTGTTTTTCAGGGAAGCTATCTGCAATGATGTACATTTTGGAAAAACCAATATCCATCCCACAGAGTGAGTACCAGGCTGGACCTCATGTAGCCAATGTATGTTAAAACCTTTCCAACTCATACGCTTGTTTAGCCCCAAGCTCGAATTTCGTCTAAATGGCTAACTGTTGGACCAGAAGTGTTAAAATGAAACGTAGTCGCATGACATAAATTGGACTTAAGCACCCTGTATTAATAGTTCTGTTTTGGTGTTTATGACCAACAGTCAAAGTGTTGGGGGGAGGGGGGGGGGGGGTTCCATTATAGAGCTGTGGCTTATTCTTTACCATATAGACAAGATGTACTGCACCCTAAATAAATCATCTCCACTAGAGGTCACTTCTTCTGAAGGAACATATTTATTTGGAACTGTTTTACACACAAAGAACAGCCTAAAGCAATCTGCAATGTCGTTTTACATTTGTCAGTAATGAACAGATGAACATGTCAATTAGTGCAGCTTTGGAGTGACCAAAAGCTGCAGATATAATACAATAATAAAACTCAGCCTTGTGTCTGAGCCTCCCAACCCCCTCACAGGTGTCAGTTATTACGTTTGATTGAAACTCAGATTAGGTTTAAGGTTGGCAGGAACTTTACTGGAAATGTAGAAGGTCACAAATCTATATCTAACAATAATATTGTTGTTATGTTCCCCAAAGCTCTGGGGGATAAGGGGCCACAACTGATTAAATTACCAAGGGGAAAAGGAAGAGAAATAGCTGAATTGTTTAACCAAACATTGAACCTCTAAAATAAGCAGGGCTCACTAGCCAATACAAAAGAGAAATGAGACAACCTTCGGCAACGAAAGAAAGTGACAAGGTTAAACAAAACAAAAAGTTACAAATTAGATTCGGGCACATACCTTAACACTTTCAAAACTCAAGTTACACACAGGTTCAAAACATTCAGAAACTTTTGGTGCAACAGACCAGAAAGGCACATTGATAACCAACCAAACACTCTTTTTAGTGCTTGGAAGAACACACACACTCGGCAGCTAAATATCAAGTCCAGACAACATGACCTCACAGTTTAACAATGTGAAAGAGAAACACTGGCAGGTGAGACACGCTTGTACATAGATCTCCTGAACAAATCATAATTAATCATAACGCTGAACAGTAACACATCTCTGCGTTGCTATTTATATATATATATATATATATATAAATAGCTTAAAGTATAAAATAAACTCTTATGTACAGTAAAAGTAGGAGAGGAACAGTTAAAATAGTTAGCTACAGTAGCTCATGATCTTCTCACTTCAATCGCTGTAGGATGGAGAGTAAGTGTATTTCCAAACATGTCTCTCTACTCTTTTGGCTAAAAGTCAGCACTAAAACCTTACTGTGTTGTGTTGAAAAGTGCTATATAAATAAACTTGCCTTGCCTTGCCTTGCCTTGCCTTGCCTTGCCTTGCCTTGCCTTGCCTTGCCTTGCCTAAGGCAATGTTCCTCTCGGGCTGCATTTCAAAATAAAATAGAGAAAATAAATAAAATAGCTTTTGAAAATATGTGCATCTTAAAAGTGCTTAATTTTAGATAAATAAAATAAAGTGTAGCAGCAGCTTGAGTTTCCCTTTTTCTTTGTTAACCGTTTCACATCATGACTTAACAGTTTCAGACGATTATAGAACAATATCAGTCTTTACACATCATAGCAATTGAACAGTTTTACAGTTTCTCTTTCTTTCCCTCTTATATTGCAGCCCCTCACTCACTTTGTTTTGTTCAGTGCGAGAATTGAGCTCCAGCTTGTCCTGCCAGGAGTTTAAATCTGGGCTGAAATGGTGTCAGGGCCATTCTCATTCACACATGCAGGTGCTCATTGGTTAGCCTGCCCTTATTTTGTGTGACCTCAGTTCTGACTTGAGAGGGAATGTTTGGTCAAACACTTTGTGTTTTGTCTCATAGTGGCGTTTTGGCACTTTTAATGAGCACCACGGTCTCTGAACAAATGAGACACACTGGTTCTGTGCTCCCAGTGGGCAGGATGAACATGAATGAGTCCACTCAGGGTTAAAAGCTCTGTTCTCACTGTCCACTTTCCTCTTCTTGGAGAGTGCCATGTGTAATTATTTGTCTCTCCTGTCACGCCTGTTCACTCTCCTCTCCGCTTCTCTCCCTGTATCGCTAATTATTCTCTTCACTCACTTTCCTCTCCGCTTCTCTCTGTCGCTCTCTCATCTCTTCCGCTCTCTCATCTCTTCTGTGTTTCTCACCCTGTATCGCTCACTCGTCTCTTTCGCCCCCTGTCGGCGGCGGTTAAAATAGAATCGCCCCGTCAAAATTGAAATCCCTTATTAATGTATTGATTATAGGTCCGAGTCCATATAGATCGGCGTCCGGATCCGGATCCGGACCGCGGTCCGCCTGTTGCCGACCCCTGCTGTATAAACCAAACTTAATATTTACTAGGTATGTTACATTGGTCCTTTATGGACCTACACTGTGTGGACAAGTCTACAGCTAGCTAGTTATTATAGGAAAAGCATTTATTTGAGCTAAATGCTAATGTCAGCATGCTAATGTTATGTGTTAGAAATACGACCATGCTAAAAAAAGATTATAACATGTTGATCTCGTAATATTGTTTACCTCCTTGTATCCTATGTGGCTTTCAATAACCAGCGAATTGGCCTAATTAGAGAATTAGCTTTGACCTTTTGACTATCGTCTTGTCTTTTTGTACAGTATAATGAATCCAGTTTAGTCTGTCAGATATGACAAGTTTTCATGTCCTTTAGGCATGCTAGATGTTCAGCTAACTGACTAGGCTGACTGGTTTGAGTTGGCCTGATCAATAGATATTATTGCGTATCATCTGCATACTGTAGTAATGAAAGTTTATTGAGTGTTTTCTGATAACATTGCCTAAATGAAGTATTTATGAGGTGAATTGAAAATGTCAAAGTACATAACCTTGCAAGACTCCATGTTGTTAACATGCACAAACTGAGACTGTTTAGATAAATAAGACTTTAATTATCTTAGCGTGGTTCTTAAACTGCAAACTAAATGTTCCAAGTTTTGTAAAATAATATGACGGTTATGAATACAGCACTTCAATCTAGTAAGAGGGCAGGCCATAACACAAGGGCCGCAACTTAACCTGAAAACATTTAAGGAATACTATGTGCCTCTTGAAGCATTGCTTTTTTGTAAAGCAATTTTGGGCATGTATTGACCATTTGGCAAATTTATATTTACAACAGCATTTACAAAAACACTTAATGTGAAGGCTCCAACATGTTGCATAAGCCACTAAGACTATTTAAAAAAGCAAAGAAACAGTAGTTTGGTTTTAGCCTTTATTCTGACAGAACATCACATGGGGATTTACAATAATGGATTACAAAGTAGGATCAATCGCTACATGGTAAAACAGACATGACCAAAGTTCAATATACAAACAACTCTGTTATTGAAAGTCAACATGCATGATAGTATAAAACCAAATACATAATAGGGGAAAATACAATATAGAACTCACCACCTATTCATGGTTTATTATAAAACTGTTCAGTTGTATATTAATTATTAGAAAACTGTTCAGAAATAAACACTTCTCCACAAATTGTAATGAAATGCACAGATGACAATAGACAGCACATGCACATCATTAATAAGGCTTTGTCATTCCTTACAACTAAAGCTTGCTGAGAACCGCTGTTTTTTTTCTTCCACATTATGTCAGGAGAAACGGTTAGGTAGGTGTGTGCATTGTAAATGGCTATGACGTTTGTAATATGCTACTTCTGTGACATGGAAAATACTGTTCAGAATCACTGGTAAAACAAATAAATCTGCCTCCTTTTGATTTAGAAGATTATGAGGGTAAAATGACATGTAATGTTCTGCAAAGTCAAAGTGAATTTTTTTCTTTTTAAATGTTGCTAACTTAAAATAAAACACGTTTTTGCAATCAACTTTGATACAACATGTAATGTGTAATATACATATCATGATTAAACTGTACAGTTAATAAGATCAAAATCACGCAGAAAAACATGGATGCATCGTGTCTGAACGCGTCCTTTTTTTTTAGAACAGTTCGTTCTGTGCAATCAGTTTTTGGAAATGGTATTCATACCGTATGCTTAGGATAGAAGTCAGAATATTAGGTTCACGTTTTGTATACTTAGAGCCAACATAACCACTCCATGAGGCATTTGCATAGTGACAAGAGTATACACCCCTTTTAGGACGACTAGTATAGGCCACTGACAGCCAATCGAAAGCAGCTTCCAGTGATATGTTGAGCAACAGGCCCTCTGACTGCAGGCCACAATGTATGCTCAGTAAAACAGAACAATACATTAATAAACACGAGTGTCTTTGAACAATTTGCTCTTTAACAAAACTCAATCATTTAAAGTCAGTTCAATTTGTACTATTGGGAAACATTAATGTACATTTTCAGGATATAAGCTGCAAATATTTTCACCACCTCAGAAAAACAATATGATCCCACTGTAAACTACAGCTTTAAAAGAAAAAAAAAACCCAATAGATTACAAAGTCATGGACAAACTAAAAGACACATCCCTCCACACGTACTAAAAGACGGAGAAGAAACTTCAGGAGGAGAAAAGTGAGGTATATTTCTGGCAAAACCGGTATTATTATTAATATAAATAGTTATAAGATATATATATATATATATATATATCGTCGATATGTTTGGTTGCTGTTTTTAAAATTATTGTTATTTCTTGCATGGCAAGGTCGACAGCATTTGCACTGCGGGGCAGTTCAGCGGTCAGGCAGGGGGGTTCTATTTAATCCATACCTGGGCAGTTAAAAAACGACATTCTTAAACTTGCTAGTGTCTATGGAGTAGCATTTGAGGGATGGAGGTAAAAGTTGCTCGAAAAGCTTAAATATATCTTATCATGTAATATATGGTTATCCTCTCCCTGAATAGATGCATTTTTACAAATATTGAGAAGCACTTTTTAGGAGTATGAACTGCTGCGAAAGAGATGTGCCTAAAATGGGTGTAAATAAACTAAACTTGTGTGTATCATTTTAGGTGGTAAATATAGAAAATATAATACTAACTAAGTAAAGGTGCTGTTAAAGGTGCTGTTAAGTCGAGCTCGAGCTAGAGAAAGGTAGATATATTTAGTCACATAAATGGGTAAATAATAATACATCTTTCTAAAAGAAAATGCACCGCAACAGTGCGGAGGGCACTCACTTTCTTTGGATTGGACAGAGTTTCAAACTGAGGAAGAGGCTTTTTCAGTACAGTACAGCGTTCCCTGGCGGTCACACTCGAGTCAAACTGATTCATGATAATTCAGTAAATACAGAGGCAGGTGGCTTGTTGTGTTCTTTTGTTTAAGAATTTAAATCTATCATAATTTGTTGGGTTGACTCTGTATTTTGTTTTGCCGCAGCGCGATGAACTGAACAAATCAGAGCCTAGTTTTACAGTATTCTCTGTACAAGACAATAAGGCAACTGATGAAATAAGGTGCTTAGATCAACCTCTACTAATGTAAATGTCATCGCATATTCACTGTTATACTGCACACAATGTGTACGTATTGTCTAGCCGTTGTTGTTGTTCCCCCTCTGTGAACTCCTGTTTAGCAGGCTCACAAACATGTCCGCCTTCAGCCTATGTCCATCCTCTCTCCATTCTCGTTAGCCAGTTCAGAAACTGGTGGTATTGTCCAGTAGCTGCTTTGCCTCAGAGAATCCTTCCTTAGCCTGCTTGGCCTTCTCGGCCTCAGCAGCTCCGGCTGATGGTTTTCGCTTGCGATTGATCTTGAATACATCCCATTTCTCGGGCAGCAGACCTTTGTTGATGATGATGGCTGCAAGCCAGGAGAAGAGCAGGATGGAAAATAGCGACAACATCATGATAGCGGTGCGAAAGGGGAAGTACTGGGTTGGCTTTCCTTCAGCGTCCGGTCGGTAGCCGGGGAACTCGATGAGAGGAGGGAGGCCAATGAGGGGCTCACCACTCATGAACCTTAAGATGATTCCCATCATGAAGCCAATGAGGGCTCCATATGCATTCGACACCTTGAAGAAGAGGACGCAGACCAGCTGTGGGAACATGATGGTGTAGGACATATCTACGCCCACCAGCCAGAAGACCAGGACGCTGCTGTCCAGAAAGGTGAGGCCAGTGCCGGCCAGACCCACCACCACCACCGAGATACGGATCACCCACTGCATCTCACGGTCCGACGCCTGGAGGGGTGGAGAGAACAACAAGAAACACAATGAAAGTTTTGAGGGGTTGTGTCTTTTTTGTCTTTGTAACTGCTACTGTTGTTATGAAATGAAACCTAGAAAATATGTCATCCATCATCCTTAAAAGATGTTTTGTTGATTTGTGTGCACAAAGCTAAAAGTTTTTTGATTGAAGTATTTGAAAGGCTAAATGCAACAAACAGGGCTGCCCCTCCCTACAGGCAGATAACGCAGACTGCGTGGGGCCTCATGTTGCGTAGGGGGCCTCATGTTGCGTAGGGGGCCTCATGTTGCGTAGGGGGCCTCATCTTATGTGGAAATGCGGGGGAAATCATCTAATGCGCAAATGCGGCACTCCGCAGTTTCCTGAGGGAGGCTCCGGCACTAACAGTTCATGAGCGTTCAACGATGAGTGACGACTTGTGTACAGACCCGGGGGGCCTCATGACACACCTTTGCGTGGGGCTAAAAGGGGGCAGCCCTGGCAACAAATGTAGATTAAAGCGGAATATGTGATTAGACTATTAAACAAAGATGTGAATCTTGTATATTATTGCATCTCCCTTTTTTAAATAAAAGTTGACTTTTGGACTTAACCCTCTGGAGTTATACGAAATGTTTGGATCATGAAAGTCGGAAACAATGTTACGCAACCTCCACTGGAATCTACTTTTACTTGCAGAAATGCCAGCACTGAACAGAGTGAATGATTGAATGTCAACAGTATGAATGAAGCTTCAAAGATTTGAAATATTCAATACACCCCCTATGAGTTTCACATTCCACCTTGTTACATTAGGGATCTATGATCATCTGGTCTTCAGATCCCCTTACAAAGTCAAAGTACCTCGAAGTTACAGCACTACAAAAGTGAAGGGCCCCATTACATGGAACATTCTTTGGTGGTGTAATAATGAGATCATTGTTGCAAGAGAGCAAACATGTGGAGGAGTTGTCACAGTGTACAGTATGTACAGCAATGCCCACATTCTATGTCAAGTATCTACAGAATTGGAAGTCAATTGCTTCTCTGTGCTGCCTCCAGATGTGTACAGTAGTGTGATGCAGTCTGTGGACTGTAAATGTCTGTAGAAATGCAAATGTCTGAAAAATGTTTAAATTGAGACAACATTAAGACAATAATCTGTCATTACCATGCTGTGGAAGTGTGCAACAAATAAACAAACATCTTAGTGACTACATTTGTTATAACGCATAAAAAAAGGCAAGGACCAATCAAAGAATGATAGAAAGTCCTGCTTTAAGCTAACGAGTCTATCTAACACAGACTAGTAGTAACTACCTTCTCTGCAGCCTCTGGTGAACAAGTATTATTCAAACTGGCTCTTAACATTGTGATTGTCCAAACAGAGAGTACAGTATAAAAAGGAAACTAAGTAAGGCTAAATTCTCCTGCCAAGTTATTGTTAAATGCAGAAGGTAGTTAAAACTACCCAGAACTGAATTTGTGCCCATATACCTCGCATCAGCAATATTGGTGAGAAGTGAGCCTAAAAGACGAAACTCAACCTATCAACACCCTGCCAAGACTGCTGTCTTCTGGCAAACGATATACAACTATAGCTCAAATTTTGATTTTGTTACAGAGCCTTCAAACTTTAGACAATACTTTTCTCAACTGCATGTCCAATATTGCGTTATGGACATGCACACCGTTGATATCTTTCTCCAATTCTCACCTGTTTTCTGAGGATGTTCTTGTAGATATTTGAGGAAAACAATGATGCAGAGGACAGAAGAGCTGAGTCCATGGAAGACATGACGGCAGCAGCTACTGCTCCAATGCCAATGATGGAGATGTATGGGGGTGTGAGGTACTGCAGGGCGATGGGGAGGATGGAACCTGCCTGGTTGCGCTCATATGGGGTGGGCAATCCATAGGCGGTTGAGTTCCAGTCTGGGTGGAATGACAGATAAATATTTGGATTAAAACCAAAGGAATCTTTGAAAAGTTGATCATTCAGTATAAATTATTTAACGAAAATTATGAATTCTGTTTGAAATGCGAAATACATCATTGCAGACTGTAAGCTAAGGAAAGCTGACATAATAATTTTCCAGTGGTGTTAACCTGTAGATGCAGCCACAGCCCCCACCAGAATGGAAGGGATACCAAGCACCAGGCAGAAACCTGAAGAGGCGAAGCAGGTCACTTGAGCCTGGGTGTAAGATGAGGCGGACAGGATTCGTTGGTAGAACGCCTGGTAGGCAAGACCACCCAGAGCCTGGCACAAACACACAGTTCAGACATGATGACAGGAGTCAGTTTGTACAGCAGGACAGGGTAAGACGGAACAATCCTCTCATGATTTTGCTGTTATGCTTGGCTGTTTGCTGATCTAATGGATTAAGCCCAATTCATTTAACTGGCATCATGCTTGGGTCAATTTAATTGAACTGTGGTGACAACAAGAGTAATACAACTACTGCATAAACTGTGTTCTAGACGGCATATCATTTTTCTGGCTTTCGTATAATAGCCTCCCCCACTCCACTCACCAGCAGCATGAAGTCGTCAAACCACTTTCCGGCCTGATCAAGCTCCACCGTGCCAACCCAGGGAGCCTGAAAGGTCTGGTTGTAGGCTGTCAGTGAGATGTCCAAAGAGTGAGGGTTTGTCATCAGGAAAGGGACACACAACCACTGTATACACAAACACAAGGATACATCTGGTCAGATTATCAGCAATGTGGCAAACTGATGAAGATCATGTGAAATAATCGAATGGAGATATAAATGGACAACCTGCTATCCAGATACAGAGCGTGGACTTGTACCTGGAGAGGTGCCAGTTCACCTCCTGGGCTCTGCAAAGGTGCCCTTGAGCAAGGCACCTAACCCCCAAATGCTCTGGGCGCCGGTGAACTGGCTGCCCCTTTACTCTCCCTCTCTAATCCTGCATGTGGTCCTGTGTGCTCATGTATATCAACCAGTGTGTGTAATGTTAATGATAAAAGTAATTTCCCCCTTGGCAATGAATGAAGTATATCTTCTTCTTTTTATATTCCGCTCTATACACAACTATGAGTTACAGTAGGGCTCTGTGTTCCATTTCTCACAGTTAATAGCAGATGTTTGGTTTTCTTAGTCAACAAAACAATATGTGAGTGACGACAGAACGAGAATCCTAACATTGATTTGCTTTTGGAAGACTGTGTCACGCAAATGTCCTGCTTGAGTTCAACAGTTTAAACTGATATGAATGATGTTGCTCATTTAATACAAAAATGGAGCTGAAACTCTTTGATTTGACAGCTCAAAAAGGCTGTTTTACTGTTACTCACCAGACTGACAAAGATGAGGATGAGCTGGATTACATCTGTGTAGGCCACAGAGTAGAGCCCCCCCATCAGTGTGTAGACTATGGCCACCACTGAGGAGATGATGATGGAGTATAAGTAGGGCAGGTCCAGGATCACACTCATTGTTCCACCTGAAGTAACACAGCAGAGCGGTAAGCTGAGAGGACTGACAGCAACTTGTCTAATGTACAGTTGTTGGTTTCTACAGATACATGCAAATGCCTTGCTTTGATAGTAGAATCAAGGTGCTAAGTCTCTCTTTTGTTTTTAACTATCTTCCCTCACACACAGACACAAACATATACATCCACTTGTACTTACTCTAAAGATGTACTTAGAAGCTAGGCAATGGCATTGTCTATACAGTTCATATATCTCAGTGCATTATTTTCCAAAGAAAAGTGAACATTAAACTTTATCCAACAAAAGAAAAACATTATGTTTCTAGGTATAAGGTCGAGAATAAGGTTACACTTCAGTGTGGGCCGCTTTGGTTTAAACTTTTAAAGGGGCAGTTTACCCCACAATCAAAAATGCATGTTACCTTTAACCTGTAGTGTTAATGATCAATCTTGAATGTATAAGTTTGACTTTCCAAGCATGGAAGGTATCAGCTGTAGAAATGTCTGCTTTCTCGCCTATATAAAAGGAACTAAATGGCACTTGTTAAAATCAACAGTAATGTATCTCTCCAGAAAGAATTGCCAAAGTAAATCACACGTTGAGCACTAAGAGCCAAGTGCCATCTAGTTTAGAGGAAAGACAAACATCTCTAAAGCCGATTTCTTGAACACTTGGCAACTCGCACCAAAACTAGATTGATAAATAGCCCTACATGTACATTTTTGATTTTGGGGTGGGCTGTACCTTCAAGAAGCATACATGGGCTAAGATTAAGCAACAAGTCAACATAAAAGTGATAATGATAAAATTATAACAAACTGTACAGAAACACATAGCAGAATCAGCCTATTGATTGTGACTCCAAAATATGCCCTTTTCACCCTCTTGGATGAATTATCACCCTAATACTGATAATTCTTAATTAATCAAGCAGAAGGTGAAGAGAATTGTCTTCAAGTATTGAAACAAATGTGTAAAAAAATATATAAGTGATTGTAAACAGAAAGTACAAAATAAATAAAAAGACATCTTGTTACTCAAACAAGGCAAGCAAAACGTGACTACCTTCACCGTCTCTCCTCATTGCCAGGGTCCCCCCAGCCGCAGCCTGCAGCCACACCACAACAATGCCCTTAAACAGAGAAGTGTCAGACCGGCA